GATGCCCCCCTCCCCCAATATATCTAGTTTATATATGCAAGCTGTCAAGACTCATGACATACCTTCAGTAATGCACAGGCAGTAGGGATAATTTGGGGAATCATCAAGGACAGTCCCTTATGCAATTCACCAATTAACGCCTCTCTCCCCCCCCCCCCCCCCCCCCACAAAAAAAAAGAAAAAAAGCAAAAATGGCCATTTTGCCTCTGCTACATATTTTTACTTCACTTTAAAACTCACAACTCTGATGTCTAATTTCTAATCTATTATTTCTTGGTTCCCAGTTTATAACCTTATTTTCATGCCAACGCTAGTCTTTAATGATGAAGAAAAAAAACAGCTAAGTTAATTTCCCTGAAGCCTGGAACAGAACCATCTTACTCTGTCTTAGCCTTTATTTATTAAAAGAACAACACTTCATTTTTGTCTCCTCTTGCAAAACACACTAAATCTAAGAACTAGCAATTATTTCTCATACTTTTTAGAACCTGCCAAAGCCCTCAACTTCCCCCCATCCCCTCAAGTTCTCCTGTTATACACCCATGCTTAATCCTAACATTAAGATCCTGAAGAACACCACAACATCTACAGAGGTCTGCATAACAAGAATAGCCCCTACTGAATACCTCACACGACTGACCAGCTTCAACAGGATAAATAACATATTCTTATGATCTACCTTACGCAGAAATTTTTCTAAGCAGCAGATGTTTTTGGCTAGAGAGACTATTTAAGTCACAGAGTAAGCCCCTCCACACAGCTCATCATTGCTGATCAGTAAGTCAGTAAGCAACAATTCCCCTCTCACCATCCTAATTTGCTTGCAACATCTCCTACTGGAACATAATCAACACCCAGGAAAACAGTTTCCAATACCTACACCTACTCAGGATACAAGCCCTGTTTTAAAATAGGATTACAAGTTGTTATAACATTCCTGTATTACATACAGGACGCTTGACAAGCATACACATAAAACTATGTGCACATGCACAGTTAGCATCCATGAACATAAACTGGTACTCTCACACTCAAAACATCAAGCCTCAGTGGCTCAGTTACTCCAAATTATCTTAAATATGACCAGTGATGGACATGAATAGTCAACTAATTGCTTTTACATGGATGTTCTCATTCATCTTCACAGAGACCCAAGAAAAGAGTTTTGGACTAGCAGATACAAATAATTTCTACGTCCGTCAGCTGGACAGATACGTGTGTTTAAAATAATATTTTTTAATTAAAGCTTCATAAGGCAAAATTTATCAGGTATTAGTAACTAGTGTTTTATGCAGTATAAGTAGAAAAAAAATCTTGAACTAAAGGGAAATCACTAGTGCTTCTGTTAGCATAGGTTTCTTTAGTTGACCTTATTTCAAGAAGACACTGAATAGCAGACTTCTATGACTTGTAATAGCATATCTTTTACCTGTAGCAAAACCCAGTTCATAAAAATATAAAAAAGGAGAATTAAGCTTTCAATCCAGTTTACTGATATAGTCTAGCAGAAACAGCTGTGCATCTGCAACACCTGAGACCTCCTCATTTGAGATAGCAGCACAGTGGGATTGCAGTTAACGGATACTTACACGAAATGCTGCAAGGATGATTCTAGTTACTTTCTCTTTGACAGATTCCTGAAGAATATCTGACAGCACTGGAACAATATTATACCGCCGGAGATATTCACACATTTGAGGACTAAATGCCAGCAGCCACACACAGAAAATCATCTGATACTGGAGCTGGAATCCACATTTGTTGCTCAAGACCCCCATGATGCTGAAAGATTAACACAGTACACATTCAATTTTTAAATAATGACTACATTGCTCCACCCTGAAACATTAAAAGTGGTTAACAGTAACTTAGTGGAAAGAGCTGCTGAGGATGAGCATACAACACATGCTTCACAGTATTTACTTCACAGCAATAAGTGTACTAGTATTTATTATTGTGCAAGCAGCTTGTTCAGAAAGCCATCTTTTAAACATACAGTTATTTTCTCCTTAGCCTTATAGCTATGACAGCTTTTCCCATGTGAACTGATGTACTGTATCCATCTTCAGGTTCACTGAGACTTTTTCTACTGGCATGTTTAGAGCATTATTTGTCATTCTAGGAGAAACGGAGAAACACATAGCTACCCTTTCAGAGTTAAGAAGGAGAAAAAGTAAGCAGACAAGAAATAGTATCACAAGATCTCCAATAAGAAATCATGCAGAAACTTTGTTCAGCTAAAATTCTGAAAATTTAATAAGCAATTTACAGGTCCATTCCAAAATAGCTAACGTCACTTAAAAAAAATAAAAAAATAAAAAAATGCTCTAATAGTTTAGTAAAAAGCTTCCTTGGTTAAAAAGTTTGTTTCAATAGTGTCACCTTGACAAATGTGAACATCTTTTCAACTTCCACATCACAGGCAACCTTTGACTATTCTCCATTTCAGCATAGAGGGGTATTTCTTCTTAAAGTGCCAAACATACAGCCACCATTCCCAATGGAGGCACGCACAGCAGAAAAGTTATGTATAGACAAGGATTTCTTAAATAAGGTGACAACTTCCTAGTCTTACGCAGAGCTATTTATGAAGAGAAACTGGATAGAAGAATTACCTATTTGAAGCCATATGTGGGGGGAAAAAAAAAAAAATTCAGCATAGCTCTAGAAAATGTTTCTCCTTTCACTAATACTTACAAACTGAACTCCAAACTAAAAGACAAGGAAGATTAGCAGAAACTCATTTCATTAGTCCTTGCTCTATTAAATAATAAACAAAGAACCTTTAGCTGAAGACAAATGGCTATATTCCTGTTCAGATATTTATTAAAGCAGTTCTTAATGGAAAGCAGTACTGAAGCTTCAACATTAGTACCTGTATCTGCAAGTTTCATTTGTCTATTTGACTGTATTAATGTTTGAAAACAAATAGGCTTTGTACCCAAACAGATCGGCTGTCTTTTGCAAGAGAATTCTATTCCAAAAGAGGTCACTGGGGAATGTGCTATTGTGAGTGTAAGTATATCCATGTCAATTGAAATAAATGCTCACCAATTTACTCCATCTGCTTCTACCCACGCAAAGCGATACTCATTGACCCTGAGCATCAGCTGTAGACATCCAGCAACACATTGTACATACTGGGAACTCTGGGTGAAAAGAAGAACATACCACTTCTTGTAAGAAGAGTTAATAGTAAGTACCAAAGTTCAGTTTTCCAAACTGGGTTTTACTGGCCATACTTCAACATGTATTTCATCAATGACACTTCCAAGTCAAACCTGCTTACTCATAATGCTTTACATGCCTCTATTAAATAAATAAATAAATAACAATCTCACAAGAAAAGGTGGGAAGTAAAACATAAATGACAAAGGGTTTTGAACAGGATAGAAGTGCTATGCAAGTGATACCATTTTACATTACCTTAACAGATTTATATAACCCATTTGAATATGCCTTCTTTCAGCATATATATGAATGAAGGCTGTCTTCTGTCTTCAACCACAGAGTCAATTATTATTCTATTGAGCAAACTTTGGGAAATAAATCAGCAGGCTGGTTACCAGATTGAAGAAGTTTACTAGAGGTCATTGTGGAAAAAGCAGTGTTGAGCTCAGGTTCTTCCCACACCCGTTCTCCAACACAAAACAGCAGTGGTGTCATTACAATTGTGTATCTTCTTATGCATGTGCCACACAGTAAGTACCATGCTTATCATAATGAGAAATGTATTATAAAAAAAACATACCATTAGAAAAATGATTATGCAAAATCATCCTCAAAGTTCAGCTTTGCATTTTAATTTTTTCTTCTTTTCATTAAAAGCTTAGCACAGTATATTGTGCTAAGACAAGACAAACTTTCCCATTAGGAAAGTGTCGAGATACACCACTGAATTCTATTTTCATCCAGACTCCTATATGAACAGTCAAAGACAACCATTAAGCAGTTTTTCATCTCGAAAAGCATGCATTTTATGTGCAGTAACACATAAAAAGAGCAGCAGTTCAAAAATGGGTTTTGGCCAACACATTGCCCTCCCACTACAGCAACACAGATCCCAAGGTACAACCGAAGTGGCATTTTTTTATTTGTTCTCTCTCAACTTCTGACATTACCTTCACCAATACTCAGATAGGCTGCTGATAAAATGTCATGGGTTTTTTTTTCTCCTACAATCTTTTCTCTTTATTAAGCGTCTTGAAAATTTTATGGTAGATCACTCACATAATACGAGGTCAAGCCTTTCAAACATCTAATGGAGTAAAGAATTTAAGCAACCCCATATGAAGAGAAAAGAAACAATAAATAGAATTTAAAATAAAGATTAACTTGTTCTGTGTCTCTCATCGCAGATTAAGACCTTTACGTAAAAATTGAGTTTGAACATCTAGGCCCAAATCATCACACAGAACATTCATTTCCCTGGGTAGCTATTCACTCTCACGTACCATGCAAATAAAACAGCTATAAACATACAGGCAGCCCTCTCACCTCAAATAATGTATTAATCTGCATCACTAACTTATGCACTACTGAACTTGGAGTTTTCTTTTTAAGGAGTCTGTCATAAAAGCATTCTCTTTCAATACTATTATAATTGAAATTTCATAATTGATCCCAGCCCTCATTTCTTGTGTAAAACGCTACAACTGCAGCTCTAATTCACTCTGAAATAAATTAGTCAGGACCTGTTTGGGAATCCTGCACAAGCCAGATCTGCAATGAGAACACTAACAAATTCAAAACAATACTTACCCAACTTAATTATCCTAGAACATATTTGCACTATCAGTTCTGCTGCTTTGGAACCCTGCAGTACATCCAAGCAGGAGTACAGTACAATGAGTACAGATTTCTAAACAAGTCAGAATTGCTCACAGTTGCATAGTGAGTGATGCTGCAGGCTGTAGAACTATTTACTCTTTTAAAGCTGTACGACCAAAGGCTGTCAGCCTATGAAACCTAACAGTTCTGTGTGCCATTCTGCACATGAAATACTGAAATACTTCAACTTCTACGCTCAGGCTGTAATTTTACCCCTTATCCAAGGTCATGCGTAACAGTCTTTCATCTTTTCCATTTTAAACCCCAGCCAGGCGGCAATTTAATATGCTTTCCTCTACAGGAAGCTAACCCTTTAAAGCAATGACTACATGTAGAAGAAAAATTTCAGGTTCGTATTTAAGTCTCCTGAAAAACTGAACACTTTCAGGTTACAAAAGGAACAAAAGACCACACTGAATTCTATTCCACATTCAAAAGCTACAATAAACCGCCTTGCCGTACCACAACAAAACAGAAAATCCAGTTAAGATGATCACTTGTGTTTGCTATCCTGCCACAGTTCATCTTCAAGCTCAACCACCATTATAACTACATAAAATTCAGTATAAATAAATACTGAAAAAGGACAATCCATTTTCACCTGAAATCAAGCTATTCAAATACGAAAACCTTACAGCTCTGAAAGCACTCTTGTCATTTCATGCTACACTGGTTGAGGGGCAATGTTAGCTATTAATATCTAACATGCCCTTTCTAAGTTCTTCACATCACAAAAGCTTCTTAGTCTCAGGTTTTTTCTGTAAGTCCAACAGTTCAGTGCTAAATAGACAATACTTTTAAAATATTAAATTAATTGCATTTATTTTTTCAAGCTTCAAAACTTGAAAAAACAACCCAAACGAATCTGTAAAATACTTCCACTGCCAGTATTTTCTGAGAAATCAGTATTTTAAAAGTACTTTTGTTTCTTGGCGCCATCACCTGGCACTCTGTTGTCATACAGTTCTAAGTACTTTCTATTACTGACACCAGAACAGCTCTGCATCTTAATCTGATGAGTTGGTATCACCTGCCCAAAATAGCAAATTGACAGATGTCAAACATATACTCACATCAGTTGTGGAGACTGCTCCTGCTTCCGCAGAACTCCCTGTACCACGTAGTTTCTAACAGAAAAAAATGAAAGTTTAAAATCAGAGCTGTCCTTCACCCTTATTATGATAATATATTGTATTTAATTTCCACACACAAACCATCATGTCTAGAAGAATATGCTTGGGCCTGATCCTTGTATATCAGGATTTAATTTTTACTTATTTAAGTGTGGTTTTACTTTTATCCATTTTCATCTTAGAATTTGAGAACTGTTCTCTTGGATCCTTCTAAAGAGAATTCCAACTTTAAGTTTCTTCTTCCAGGGAAAAAAAATAACTCCATTTTAATAAAACCAGTTTGGAAAACTATGAAAAATATACCATTACTAAACCTACTGAATGTTTCTCTGCTCTCCAGAATCCAGTTTTGCTACGACACTACCTTAAAGAATGACGTGTCACTGGGTTATGATAAAGATTGAAGGGAAAATCTCCAAAACTTAATACAAAGGAGAACGATTAATCTTTGAAATACTAGCCAAGAGGAAGCAGCTCGTACTGAGCTAATGGCATAAAAATACTATCCAAATAAATCCTACAACAAAGTGGAAAAAAAATTTGATGTTTACTTCCTGTTGCCATGTGATTTTTCTTCCCAGGAAATAGCTCTGAGAAACAAAACAATACAGGGAGACAAAAAATTCAAATGTTCTCTCCATGTCCAGAAGGAAAAAAAAAAATCAATATTAACCAACAGAAAAGACAAAAGGCCTTATTTTTGAATTTACATTTCAAACTGGAGTAGAAAACATAAAATACTAAGTTTAAAAACTATGTGTTTGAAAAAAGGATATTTAGCTTTAAAAAATGAAGTAAAATTTCATTTTAAAAAAGGAAAACCAAAAATATGCCTTATTCACACATCCATATATTCATATTCTTGAAGAAAGCTTCCAAAGTCACCGTAATGTTTAAACAAAAGTAGGTTTTTTACCTGTGAGCTGAGCTGAGTTTTAATCCAGTTGAAATAGTAATTCAAGTCACTGCCTTCCATAAGTTCCCTCCCCCAAGCAGCCAGTTTGGCAATAATTCTTGCTGCCTGAAAAAGAATTCAATACACAGATTTTTCAAATGAAACAATTTCAGGATTCAATGAGAAGTCCTATAAGCTCTGGAAACTAAGTTTTTTCCACAGCAGACCATATGATGCTGTGGTTTAGACTGGGGACCAAAACAGTGCTGATGACATATCGCTTTTTTAACTGCTGCTGAGCAGTGCTTGAACAACATCAAGGACTTTTCTGTTTCTCACTCTAAAGCTTTCAGTGAGTAGGTCTGGGGAGGAGGGGGGTGTGATGACCAAGAAGCTGGCAGGGGACACAGTGGGACAGCTGACCAAAGAGATATACTGGCTGGGCATCAGTCTGCTGGTGCTGTGCAATTGCTTTGCATCACTCCTTTTTGTTGGATTTGCTTCGGGTTCCATCCCCTCCCTTTTTTCCCCCTAAACTTACTAAACTCTCTATATCTTGACACACAGGTTCTTTCTCTTCTGCCCTCCCAATTCTCTCCCCAGTCCTCCTGTGGGGACTGTGCAAGCAACTGGGTGGGAGCTTTCCTGTCAGCTAGGGTCAACCCACCACAAGAGCACACATTATTTCTTCCCCAGTACGCTCACACCCCATTTTTTAACAGATTTCAAGTGGCGTGGTACCAATTTCAGCATATTAGAGGAAAAGGTTCATTAAGATAAAGGTATTTCCCTTTCACAGGATGAGAACTAATTCTAGTATTTGTACAGCATGAGGAGCACTGACTGGTAGTTATGACAAAACGTATTTTTCTAGTTATGTCTTACTGCGCTTAGTTAATCCTAAAATCCTCACTTTTCTAAGCCTTTAAAACCTGCTTTGATCTCCCAGAAAAAAAAACAATGCCAATAAACAATGTAACTTTTCTTTCTGAAATGTGGTCAGGTGAACCTTGTATCATCTAGATACAGCCCATCTAGTCTGCAAGAGGGAAACTTTCCAGTCCAGGCAGTCTTCTAAAGAAAAATAAATAAGCGGTTTTCTCTACCACCTTCAGGAACAGGTTCATTTAAAACTTACCATATGCACAGTGAAAAGATCTTGTCGATTCAACATCGGGAGAAAATAGGACCATGCAGTGTTTTTACCACGTTTTGCATAATCGAAGAAGATAGAAACACGCTGATGATTTTCCTGTAAAAATGGGGAGAGACTACTTGTAAAAGCATTCAACATAAAGCAGTTATTTGCTCCTCTGTGTTGGCACACGTTACCAGTGTCCTGGCTTGTAATAGCCCATAGAAATTTTTCAGGTTGACAGTTACTTGTGGATACAGTTCATTTCAGCACTCCAACACTAAGATTAGACATCTGGGGCAGGGAGAAAAACTTTGAAACCCTAGTTACACCTCAGTACTCCAACATCTGCTTGAGTAACAATGGATGTATCCTTCTGATCAAGCAAGCAGAATGAGAGAAATGAGAGAGAAGCTAAATGCTGTCATTTTGTAGAGGAACACTATTCTTCATCCAATCAATTATGTTCGAATCAAGTCCGTACAAAGTTTCCCTGTATTGCTACTTCCACACACAAGCCTGTTCGACTTGGCTGTGTATGCTACAAGTGAAACTTCAGAGATGTAAGCTAGTCCTGCCTCTCCATTCCTCTCAATGGGAAGTGAGCTCTTCTCTACCAGATTAGGCTGCAGCTGATTCAGCTGTTATCTCAGGCAACCTGCACACCTAGAAGAGAACATAGCCACCATAACTCTCTGTTCTTCTAGGCTGAACCACAAGAGACCATAAAGCACCTGAACCTGGGCACTGTGCACAGTTTCTTCAAGCATCTCTCCTAATAACCATTGATATGCAGCTATGGTTGTCCTTAAAGCAGAACAGAGAAGAGGCCATGCAAACCTCAGGAGAAAGAGGAGCTCTGCTACTTCCTAATAGCTTAGAATACAAAGTCTTCCAGAAAATCAAATACCTGGATTATTGCTTTATCTAAGCATTCCCAGTAAGCTTTAATTCTTTAGAGATGTCTCCTCATTGACGTCAAGCTACTATAGCCAAGTACACAACTCCTATCAAGGAAGGGAAAACTGAATCACTGTAATAGGGAAACTCACCAGAGAACAGTGTCTCAGTCTCCACAAGCCAAGTAATTTAATTTTCAAACTCCCCTAGCTGAAGGGCTTTCCTCCATCCATTCAGCACCCTATTATTAACTTCATGGTCCAAGAATCAGCTATGAAAGCCTGCTTGTTGGAATATAATCCATTAAGCACAAGATGACCTGAATGTATTCATGCTTTAAACACTGTCATCTTACTAACCCTTCACTGAAAGCATCAAAGTTACTGCACCACATGGGCTGCAAATTGCTGTCCTGATCACTGACTAGGGAAGATGAGGTGTCACTAGTTATCCAACAGCCATAAGCCTTACAGTGATTAATGCTCAACACTCAAATACTCTCAAAATTTGTTGTTCAAACTATGAATTAAAAAAAAGGTAAGATCTCAAGAACATGGTCTTGCTGGAAAGCCTCTGCTCTATGAGGACTAGTTTGATGAAAAATGGCAGCTCAGTCATGTAGATCACTGTTAGCATCTACACTTGTGCTACACAGAGCCTACCTAAAAAGATCACAAATAAGTAGATCAGTGAGTCCACTTTACAACATAACTATGCAGGAGACAGACAGGTCTGGAAGCAGAAAGCTGAAATAACTTCAACACACTGCCAATCAGAAGACTAGTTTGGTTTGCTGCTAAGGTGCAGGGTAAAGACAGGAGGGAAGGAATGGAGAACTGCCAATGGCCCTGAAATATGTGAATCTGCACCATCCTAGCTCCTGACTGCACTAATAAAAAGGAAATCCTGAAGCTCTCACATCAACAGTTGAATAATTTAGCATCTGTCATTTCTGAAGAAGCATATGAAGCTCAGTGGGGTGGTACTGCTACCTACACCAACTATGGTGCAGGTTCTTAAAGATTTCATAACTAAGAAACTGTGCAGTGTGATGGGATCACTAATCCAAACAAATTATTCCAAGTGTTTATCATATGAATAGAATAATTGTTTCCTCAGGGACTCCAGTATGTTAACACTCCACCTTCAGAAATAAGCAGAATGGTGATATTCTTATAAGGTAATTCCACTTCTGCCAGCCTCAAAGCAAAATCTTTCCTAGAACAATGATCAAATCTGTAAGTAGAACTCCTGGAACAATCCTAGACACCTAGACAGCTTTTGTGTGCTCAAAACACAGTTGATATGATTTTTACAACCTCACAAGGAAAGCCTAGAAAGGTAATAGAAGAATCACAGTCATCACCAACACAGATAAAAGCTGGATACTGTTAACCTATGATAGAAGTTTCAGCTATCAAAAGTAGCTTTCAAAAACTGTCTGTCTCATGAAACTGCAGCAAACATCCTTGCTCAAAATAATTTTACTTGAAGAGGCACTGGCACCATGGAAGACCACGTCCCTGAACAATTTCTCACTTAAAATCTTTGCATGTACTGAATTAAAACTACTTGGGCAAAGACAGGAGACTTTGTATCCACTATTGTGGATTTTTCTGTCCATGCAGTCTGCAGAGACCACTGCACTAAACTCACAGAGTCAATGGCCAATATGCTGCTTTCTGACAAGAATCTTACACCTTGAAAATGTGCAAGCAAGGCTCCATAAGGTATCACTGACAGCATGTTCTACCATCTGAACATGACCAGAGGAAAACAGAAGTCTCATTTCAGCTTTGCCTCATGGAGAGATGGATGGTTAGGAAGTCATGAGATGATGCCATGCAGATGCCTGCACACAAGCCCTCTTGCCATTCCAGCAGCAAGATATCCCTGAATAATATAATTACACAGAGTATTATAAAAGCCAGTGCAGCCTTTCAGACACCGAAGCAGAACTTCTAAAGTGCAAAGGGCATCCAATTTCAAACAAAAGAGAATATATACATTCATACATCTCTATTCTCCTGACAATACTATGTTTAACATTAAGAATGCCACACACGCCACTTCTGTGGCTGGGTAAGACCCTGAATACAGAAAAGTCGGTGCAGTCAAGAACACATGTTCGTTAGACACATATGACAGAATTAATAGGGCAAATAAGAGATGACTGAAAACTGCTTTCCGTGACCACCTAGTACTAATGCAATTGTTCAAGAGTAGACCAGTGAAAGCCTTAATCTGTGGGGTATTAATTCTACAGCTCAGGAGGTATCAGCTGTTGCATACTGTAGCTGCAGGCTACGTGTTAATGTCAAAGCACCTAAGCAAAGCAAGACGTACTAACACTCACAAAGAACGGCATGTGAAACAATTAGTTTGTCATCACTGATGTGTCTCACACAGAAAACAAGACCCATTCCTCACAGAAGTAGCCATAACAAGCAGAGTTTTCATACACTAAGACAAAGTCATTAAATGCATAAAACAAAAACAGGTACTCCCAACTCAGTATCCAAATCACAGAATGACACTAAGGCTCCCTTCTGTCTTTTCTGCTTCTTGATGTTTGTGTCACACTTGAGAAAAAATAAATTGAAAGAAAAGTGGAAGAGGACTAGAGTGACAAAGCTGCAGATGGGATTGATTGAGAGCAGCCCTGAGGGGTGGCGGTTGATGAGAAGCTCAGAACAACCCAGCAATGTGTTCTTGCAGCCCAAAAAAGTCAACCATGTCCTGGGCTACATCCAAAGGAGCATGGCCAGCAGGTCAAGGGAGGCAATTCCCCCCTCTACCCATCTCTCGTTGCCACTTTATAATTTAATCATGCGTAACTTCAAAACGTTGTCCTAAACAGTCTGAAGTTATACTGAAAACATGAAACTGCAGAAACTGTATCTTCTTGCTGAGAATGTTTCCTTTCACAGGAAAAGCTTCAACAACTTCAAGGTAGAAGTTATATCCCATCTACATAACAAGAAAAGGCTGAGATTACAAATCATCCTTTAACATCCAAGTTTCGCATGAAGCAGGGTCGAGAGCCAACAGACAAGCATACAGGTATGTTTTATTTCCATATATATATTTACATAAGACTAATTTACCCATGCAACTTTGAGCATAACATTTAATCTCTGAAGACAAGACCTGAAAATTTATAAGAATATTTAATTTATAAGAATATTTAATACAGCATGACAAACACCTGTAGAGACCTGAATCAGGCTAAGGAAACATTCAAGCATGCATTCAAAGACTTAAAAATAAGACAGGTTATTGACCTACTTGCAACATATCATCAACCATAGTTAGAATGTACTGAACCGTCTGTTCCTTGGAGATATGAGTCATCAAGTTTATAAATGTTTTAGCACACTAAAAAAAATAAAAAGAGACATTAAAATTAATATTAGCAATTGTCTTCATTCCTTTTGGTAATATAAACTAGGACCTCATTAATTCACAATTAAGCCTTACATAAGCATTGAGCATCCCAACATCTTATTCAGTTGCAATAAGAGCTGAATACATCTGACATTACATTACAAAGAAGATTTTCTGTCATGTTCATTGTTACCCTTTACAAATTGGTTTACAGCTTTCACATAAAATAAAAATTAGTCACTAGCAAAAGTCAGCAAGGTGCTTTGTTGAAAGACTGATTAGAAAAATCTCCATCAGTGTTCTTTTTTATGGAAGTGAGAAGAACCAAGTAAACTGACAAAACAGCAATAAACTTAGACATAGTATAATAAGGTTTCAGCAACTTGAACGTGAGGGAGAAAAAGACAGCTCTCTCTTACCTGTTTACTCCTTGTAAACAAACCTTTGTTCATATTTGAGCTGGTTTCTGCCTCCTGAACAACTCTACAATTTCAGCAACAGGCTGATATAATAGGTCGAAACATTCACAACACTACTTTTTACACTTCCTCCTTTCCCTTCACCACATTCAAATAAAACTGAAAGAACAATGGAACTCTGAACTGGTACACTGTGGCATACAATGTACATCATATGCTTTTGTCACTTTGCAAATTATGGTCCATTACATACCAGTCACACAATACAATCTAGGGGGTTGGGGGGGGAAGGGGAAGAAGAAAGAAATAAAAAAACAACACAAAAAAAAACACACAGGCCCACACAGAACAGCCTAAAATTGAAGTAGAACAAAGGGCTGGGAACTTTTGAGTCTTGAGTGCATCTTCTACTCTTCACCTTCCCCTCTGCCTCCCCAATCCTCTTGATCTCTGACACTGTCTGACAGAAACTCAGGCTTCAGGACTGAGATTTCAGTGCTTCAATTATTACTAAAGTGTCTTTGGGCATCCTGCCTGGACTCTGTAAGCCAAATGGCATGGGACTCCTATCAATCTCCTACCAGCTCTGTCCAGTACAGTCTAAAATGACACTAGACACCTGTGTTTAGCTACCTTACCAGTCTGTGGACTCTATTGCTGGAACTACATTATAATTGTTCAGCTAACTAAGCAGAAATGTCACTGTTAGTAGCCATCATCAATAAGGCATAAGGAAAAAAGCTAAAAAAAAAAAAATAATAAAGTGTAACTCAAGTAAAAGTGTGCATGATTAAGTAAACTGGGATGAGGAAAGACTTGAGCTAGCTTGTCACACAATAGAGTCAAAGTCAGATGACATTCAGTAATTATTTAATAGGTTTTTAAAAGAATGTCCAATCTATTTCTAGGGGCAAAAAAGAATTACAATAGCAAATTTTAAACTTCTTTCGTAACATCTTAACCATATACAGCAAGCAATAAGAGTAGGAAATTTTCCATCCATCTTCCTCCCCAGTAGATTATTAAAAGAAAGTTACTTGATTGCCTTCTGTTTGCAACAACTCCTGTTTTTCTTCTGGATTTCTTTTTTGTTCAAATCTTTGAATAAATTCACAGTCTTCACCTGAAATCATCTGCCCTCTGAAAAGCAAAATATGAAACTGTAAGTAACATGAACAATAAGTTATGTCAAATTTAACAGCCAGGAAAGAACTGAGAGTATGGGAGAGCAACAACTCTGCTAACACCAAGGTCAGTGCAGAAGGAAGGGGAGGAGACACTGGAGCAGTGATTCCCATGCAGACTATGGGTGAGGGAGTCTGTTCCCCCTGTAGCCCATAGAGGTCCACACTGGAGCAGATATCTACCTGCAACCTGTGGAGATTAATGGTAAAGCAGTAGAAATAGTTGCAAGAACTGAAATACACAAAGCTAGCATATTATGTCAAAATTATAATACAGAATGTGAATAATAGTCTAATCCAACCTGAAGTGCTGAAAAAGAAAATTAATTATTATTTTAAATTTGCCATAAGCACTGAAGAGACTTTGAAGGACTACAGAGAACTTGGTTCCTAATGCATTTTTAGCTTTCACTAATTGCAACATTCCAGCTTTTCCTGCTTGTCTAAAAAACAATATGGATGCAAGCTCATCCTAACACATACCAAGGGGGCTTGATAAAGTAAACTTCAGTGGACACCTATAAGCTAATAGATCTCTACTTGATCTTCTCTTTACTGAATTACTGCCATTATCAGTAGTATTTCAGAAAGCTGTTGACTCAGCTGAAGAGGTGGCAAAATATTACTGGGGTTTTGTTATTATACAAAACTTACCATCACAACAAATAACAAACTTGCCAAAATAGTACAGTCAGGTACTCTTCAGGTCAGAAAACTAATTTTAAACCAGGTAGTCCTGAAAATATCCAAGACTTTAGTAGGTGACTAGCTTTATTAGTTAATACCAGGAGTGCTTCAGGAAAGAAAATTGTGCACATCATCAATACAAAAGCCACAGGGGATGAAAGTATTAGACATTGCTCTGTTTCATTTATTTCCAAGATGCATCTCCTCTTACATTTTCACTTTGTCAAATGCCTCTTCCACTTTTCAAAACTATGTAGCACAGATTCTTTTAATCCATCTATTATCTGGGTCAGTTCCAGATGTTCCGCAAGTAGAAGTTACATTAAAATCCTTGTAAACTTATAGGAAACATTTGGGATTGGGGGTGGGGGTTTTGGGTTGCAGGGGGAGGGGGTTTTGCTTGATGGGGAGTTTTGGTTGGGGTTTTTGTTGTTTTTTAAATTGGCTCACCTGGATTCTTGAAACACAGAAACATAAACAAGACTCACAATATGTTCTTATCTTTCCTCATACTCATAGTTATGTCTTGAGAATGGCCTCATCACAGAGCCATCTTTTACCCATTTATTTTTCAAGTAAAGAACATAAGTCATTCAGTACCATGTGCGCTATTTCCATATTCTAGCTGCTTTATAAGAAATATCCTCACATGCACCAAGGAAAGGCATTTAAGACTTACTAGATGAAGATTCATAAAGCCAGTGGTAAATCTTGACTAGTTTCTACCAAAACTTAGGTAATTATAGATTAAAAAGTAATTAGCTAATGATAACCATGCTGCTACTACATGCCTTTTAAGTTGACTTGTGTTCTTTCCTGACTATTAAGAATGGATTTGAGTAGTAGCTGAAAGATGAGGACAATTCATCTGCCACAAATACTGGACTTAATGTTCCATAACTAGAAGTCTTCCTTGTTTCAACTAATGCTGGCCAAGCCAGGGACTCCTGGATGATACTGATGTGAAAGTAACAAGATGAGCTGCTTGTTTATAAGAATACTGGCATTTAGAAAGCACTTCAAAGATGACATAAGGTGAATACTTCATTTTCAGCTTTAATGCTTGAAAAAGCCTCATCACAGGAACATGCTTCTTTATAACCAAGTTATTAGAAGTCTGCTAAATGCCAAGGTAAAAAGCTTTGAAGTTTTCGCTTTCATCCTACATAAGACTACAGTGAAAAAAAAAAGAGAAAAAAAAATAAAATAGGTGTTGGGATTGATGTTGCCTTGAAAGGAAAAGCTGTTAGGGTTATTCTTTATTGCTTTTTAAGTCCCATTCACAAAGACACTTTCCAAACTATACAAAACAGTACAAGGGATTTGACAGCTTTGTAAACAAGCCATTAATATTTTATCAGGGATCTCATACATCTAATTAATAGTCTTAGTAATTTTAAATGCATTCATCTCCATTAATCTCATTTTTAAATGGAAAGAACTGATTATGTAGTAAGCCTTAGCAACCAAATAGAAGAAAAAATGCAGAGCAGTCTCTGACAGCTGGCCCCAACTACCTCATACCATTACACATTTTCCTCACCCCCTCTTCAAAGAGACAGGAAATTCCCAGCACCTCTAAGCAAGTAATCGAAGCTTCCCTCCACCCCTGTTCCTAATAGCCATTTAGTTTCTTATTTTCCAGGACGTGCCTATAGTCTTTTGTCAACAGATAAACGTCATTTTGACTGAGCTTCAGTTTTCTGGATATACCAGGTTTCACAGAATCATAGAATAGTTAGGATTGGAAATGACCTTAAAGATGACCTAGTTCCACCCCCCCTGCCATTGGCAGTGACCCCTTCCAATAGACCAGGTTGCTCAAGGCCCTGTCCAACCTGACCTTGAACACTGCCAGGGATGGAGCATTCACAACTTCCTTGGGCAACCCTTTCCAGTGCCTCGCCACCCTCACTGTGAAGAACTTCTTCCTTATATCTAATCTAAACTTCACCTATTTAAGTTTGAAGCCCATTACCCTTCAACATCTTTGTTGGTGACACGGACAGTG